AGTTGGAATTTGGATAAAAGTTCAAATTTGTAAATTGACATGCACCAATTCTCTTGTTTGGATTCATAAACATAGAAATTTAGAATTTCCGTGTGGAAAAAAACTTGGAATTTGGGACCTCTAATTCCCAAGTTTAAATTCCATGTAAATAGGTGTCATTTCCCAATTTCTATGATTAAGAACTTAAAAATAACAAATTTTGTATTCAATTCCATTGTTCTTTTAGGCTAAGCAAACAAAAAAAATTCACAAATTCTAAAAAATAAAATTCCATCAATTCAATTTCCGTTATTTTAAAATTGGGTAAATTACATAGTAGCCCCTCAGGTTTGAGGTCTATTGCAATCTTATACAACATCTTTAAAACATTTCACTTTCATACCTCAAGTACTATTTTATTTCAATTTCATACAACCGTTAGATTTTCCATCCATGGATCTGTTAAATGCTGACGTGGCTACCACATATATGACACGTGGCTGCCAAATGTCTGCCACGTGGCAAATAAAATAATTTTTTAATTTTTTTTAAAAAAACCTGAAATTGGAAGAAGAAAAAAAAAAGAAAGGGACCGAACCCAGAAGAAGAAGAGAAGAAGAAATAGGAGGGAGGAGAAAGAAGAAGAAGAAGAAGAAAAAAAAAAAAAAAAAAAAAAGAAAGGGGTCCGAACCCAGAAGAAGGAGGAAGAAGAAAAAAAAAAGGGACCGAACCCAGAAAGAGGAAGAAGAATAAGAGAAGAAGAAAGAGGAGGAGGATGAGGAAGAAGAAGAAGAAGAAGAAAAAAAAAAAAAAAAAAAGAAAGGGACCGAACCAGAAGAAGGAGGAAGAAGAAGAAGAGAAGAAAAAAGAGGAGGGAGGAGAAAGAAGAAGAAGAAGAAGAAGAAGAAAAAAAAAAAAGAAAGGGGTCCGAACCCAGAAGAAGGAGGAAGAAGAAGAAAGAGGAGGAGGAGGAGGAGGAGGAAGAAGGAAAAAAAAAAAAAAGGGACCGAACCCAGAAAAAAAGAGGAAGAAGAAGAAAGAAGAAGAAAGAAAGAGGAGGAGGATGAGGAAGAAGAAGAAGAAGAAAAAAAAAAATGAAAGGGACCGAACCCAGAAGAAGAATGAGGAAGAAGAAGAAGAGAAGAAGAAAGAGGAGGAGGAGGGAGAAGAAGAAGAAGAAGAAAAAAAAAAAAAAAAAAAAAAGGGTCCAAACCCTGAAGAAGAAGAAAGAGAAAGAGAAAGAGAAGAAGAAGAAGAAAGAGAAAGAGAAGAAGAAGAAAGAGAAGAAAAAAAAGTGGCAGATATGTTTTTTTTTTTTTTAAATTAAAAAATTATTTTATTTGCCACGTGGCAGACATTTGGCAGCCACGCGTCATATATGTGGCAGCCACGTCAGCATTTAACAGATCCATGGATAGAAAATCTAACGGTTGTATGAAATTGAAATAAAATAGTACTTGAGGTATGAAAGTGAAATGTTTTAAAGATGTTGTATAAGATTGCAATAGACCTCAAACTTGAGAGGCTACTATGTAATTTACCCTTTAAAATTCCTTAGTAATTTTAAATTTCTTTATCCAAATATAGTGTTAGGTGAGGTTGCTATCGAATTTCATGGCTGCAAAGGCGCAGCCGTCGTGGTGGTCTCCAATTGTTGTTACAGAGGAAGAAAAATGGGGGAGGGCGGAGGACGAAGTCATGGCAAATTCGCCATGCACCCGAATAGGCCTAGCAATTCTTGACACGACCCGATAACCGACACGACACAACACGAAATTAACAGGTGTTCAGGTCGACACGATAACGAATCAGATCGTTATTGGGTAACCCGATAAGCACCTGTTAAGATAACGGGTTGGTTTGGGTATACACGTGAGTAACATGATACACGATAAGCAAAATATTAATTTTATAATTTTATAACCCTAAAAAATTACTATAATAATTATATATATTAATTTAACAATTTTATATCCCTATAAACTATAATAATATATATTAAATTAAATATTAAAAATTGGTGACAATTGGATCGGCTTAAATATACATACCATTCAATTTCTTAAGTGTTATATGAACAAAATAAATAAATTTAAATCTACTTAATATATATATATATATATATATATATATATATATCATTGAACTTAATGGGATACGAATTCTACGAAACTAATTTTAACGATCTAACCGTCAAACTTGTTTGTATATGCTTTGAGATCGCATTAGAAAAATCTTTCGATGGTTATCAACGAAAAAATCACGATTTAACGGTTATTTTAACTCCAATTTTGATGATTTTTTATAGCTACACTCATACACCATATATGAATACAATGAATGAACTCGATCTTCAATTTAAAATATTTACACTAGTGGGTACCACAAAATCTTATGTTATACTTAATGAAAGTTTGAATAAACTCTTAAGTGTTAGTTAATCTAGTGTTTTGATGGGATACGCATACTACGAAACTAGTTTCAACGATCAAACCGTCTAACATGTTTGTATATACTTTGAGATCACATACGCCAAAAATTGCAAAAAATAAACATTCAGAGATCAAGTAATGGGACAAAACTTTTCGACGGTTATAAATGAAAAATCACTATTTAACGGTTATTTTAACTCCGATTTTGATGCTTTTTTACAGTGACACTCCTTGACCCTATATGAATACAATGAATGAATTGAATCTTCAATTTAAAATATTGACACTAGTGGATACCACAAAATCTCATGTTATATTTAATGAAAGTATAAATAAATTATAAGTGTTAGTGAATCTATCGTTTTGATGGGATACGCATTCTACGAAACTAATTTCAACGATCCAACCATCAAACTTGTTTATGTATTCTTCAAGATCGCATACGCCAAAAATCGTAAAAAAAAACATTCAGAGATCAAGTAACGGGACAAAACTTTTCAACGGTTATCAACGAAAAATCTTGATGTAATGGTTATTTTAACTCCGATTTTGATGATTTTTTATAGCTACACTCCTTGACCCTATACGAATACAATGAATGAATTCGATCTTCAATTTAAAATATTTACACTAGTGGATACCATAAAATCTTATGTTATACTTAATGAAAGTATGAATAAACTCTTAAGTGTTAGTGAATCTATTATTTTGATGGTATACGCATTCTACGAAATCCAATCGTCAAACATGTTTGTATATACTTCGAGATCGCATACGCCAAAAATTACAGAAAACAAACATTTAAAGATCAAGTAACGGGACAAAACGTTTCGACGGTTATAAACGAAAAATCACGATTTAACAGTTATTTTAACTCCAATTCTGATGATTTTTTACAGCTACACTCCTTGACCCTATATGAATACAATGAATGAACTCGATCTTCAATTTAAAATATTTACACTAGTGGGTACCACAAAATCTTATGTTATACTTAATGAAAGTATGAATAAACTCTCAAATGTTAGTGAATCTATTGTTTTGATGGGATATGCATTTTACGAAACTAGTTTCAACGATCCAACCATCAAACATGTTTGTATATACTTCGAGATTGCATATGCCAAAAATTGCAAAAAACAAACATTCAGAGATCAAGTAACGGGATAAAACTTTTCGACGGTTATCAACAAAAAATCACGATTCAATGGTTATTTTAATACCGATTTTGATGATTTTTAACAGCTACACTCCTTGACCCTATATGAATACAATGAATGAATTCAATCTTCAATTTAAAATATTTACACTAGTTGTACTTAATGAAAGTATAAATATCAAAGTGTTAGTAAATCTATCGTTTTGATGGGATACGCATTCTACGAAACTAATTTCAACGATCCAACTGTCAAACTTGTTTGTATATGCTTCAAGATCGCATATGCCAAAAATCGCAAAATACAAACATTCAGAGATCAAGTAACGGGACAAAACTTTTCGACGCTTATCAACTAAAAATCACTATTTAATAGTTATTTTAACTCCGATTTTGATAACTTTTTTCAGTTACACTCCTTGACCCTATATGAATACAATGAATGAATTCGATCTTCAATTTAAAATATTTACACGAGTGGATACCACAAAATCTTATGTCATGATGATTGATGAAAATTGAGGATTTTGTAAAAGGAATAACATGCAAGCTTTGAGTTTCATTGGCAAGGTTTAAACTTTTGAGAAAGGCTTCACAACCTTGAAAACAAAAACTCTTTTATTTTGCATATCCTTGCACATTTAATATTTTGTAATAGACTAGTAGTGTATGAATGTTTGTTTATTAGGCTCTTATTTTAGAGTGTAGATGTAGCACTTAAACGAAAAATGTGTTTTAATGTTTTGAAGTAATATTTATGTGGCAATGTGTGATATGTGCAAATTTAAGAAGAACAAGTCATAACGGGTCGGGTCACTTGACACGACACGACCCGTTGAGATAACATGTGTTACATGAACACGACACGACCCGTTTGTCAGGCCTACACCCAAAGAAGAAGATTGGCTGGGTGGGTGGATGGAACTTTGAAGAATCAATTGAATGGTTGGCGTGGGTGGGGAACGAAACACTGTTGGGCAAGGTTTGAGTTTTTATTTTATTTTTTATTTTTAAGTTCAATGTTTAAAATTTGTTTTTTTTTTAGCAAATATGATATTTTCTACAGAGGGCTTATTAGTAATAATGTGGTTTAATTCGTTTATGCCAAAAATTAAACCTAAGATATTTCACTTATAAGTGAGGAGGAATACCACTAGATCGTAATACTAAGTGACAATGTTTAAAATTAGTTTTAAAAAGGAAATTATTATTCGCACTCCAAAAATCTCATTTTGCACTCCAAACTTTCTATAATTGGAAAAAAAATTACACTTATGAGGAGTGTAAAACGAAATTTTTGGAATGCTCATAACAGTTCTCTTTAAAAATTGAGAATGATATATTTAATTAACAAGTAACTAGGGTTAGAAGAAGGGACACATGACAGCTGATAAGATATATAATGAGCATACATCAAAGTTAATGTGGATGAGCAAAAAAGCACCCAAATCTCTTCCCTCTCCTCCTGATTTGTTGTTCCCACTACCATGAGGCCCTCCACTTTTTAATCACACGCCTCTTCTATTTCTCCGGTAACTCCCTTCGCTTCAACACCACTTCTATTCCTCATGCTTGCTTCTATCGCCTTGAGATTCTCATAGCTTGTAAGCAATTCTTTTTCTGTTCTTTTTTATTGTTTTGTTTGTTATATTATATTGATAATTGGTTCACTCTGTTGGATTATTAATTTTTTTGAAAGGTGAAGACCTAAAGGGTGGGAGCTTGAAGGCATTCTTGTTGCAAAATAACATGGCTTCAGTGAAATTGTAGAATCGGATTCTAAGGAAACTATTCTCGCATTGCACAACTCTATTGAGAATGGCAGCTGAGAGGCTTTTCCTATACTAAGGAGAATTTTGGAGGTTGGGGATTCCTTCCAAGTGTGCCGCTGGTCTTAGGTTCCTCAATCAGCCAACAAGGCAACGAACTCTTTGGCATTTCAGACAAGTGCGAAGATGAGTTGTTCTACTTGGGTCGACAGACCATCATCTTCGCTTGTGCATGTTCTCAACAAGGATCAATGGCTTGCCTTGTCCTCTAGCAAACCCAAGGTTGTATAGTATTTGTGGGGTGACGTTTTGCTCATGCTGGCTTTCTTAGTAGCAACCCCTTTAGACTTGTTTTCTTGGAGCCATGCATGTAATTCTCCTTGTTAATCCTCTGTTTGGACTTTCTTTGTAAGTTTTGGCTGTTTGCCCTTGGTGACGTAAATTCCAGTCCACCGAAACAACAAAAAAGAAAGAAAAAAGGCAAGAAAAGGAAAATGATTTCACATGAAGGGCCAGGACATTGGTATTGGCTTCATAGTGGGCCAATAAATTTACTTATAAATTAATGGCCTCATGCCTAATCCAAGCTGGAAGCCTCAGCCTCCGAGGAAAGCATGTTATGATGTGCTTTTAGAGAAAATAAAATCTAATTACACAAAATAGAAGACAAAATCTAGGTGTACATTGGATATCATGAGTTACAATTGATCAATATATATATATATATATCATGAGTTACAAGATCCTTCAAAGTTTGGGTACTTGTTTTTTTTTTTTTTTTTAATTTTATTTTATTTTTACAAACCTAAAATAATCTACACTAAATTCATTTAACTTATGGGAAGGAGAAATGATTTGAACTCACATTGCATTGGAATAAAGAGGAGATATTTTTTAGTATACACGAAATACAAAGGGGGTAAACCATGTGTTATAATATAAGTAGAACAATACTAGAAAATATACCAAAAAATAAGACATATTGATCATGTCGTCTATTTATATTATGACACGTATAACGTGTGTTATGAGTACAAAGAAAAATATCCTATATTTTAAACAGAAAGACCTTATCTACTAGAATAATCCATTACTTACAAAGTTTGAGTACTCACGTTGAACAGAACATATGTTGATCATCTGTGACCAATATATACAACACCTTAATTTGCGGTCACTAAATGAGAAATTATGATGTGGTCCATATTTCTCTCTGTACCTATTTTCTCCCAACTCCAACCATCTCTTAAACTTCAACCCTTCTTCAACAGAAGATTAAAAACACAAGAATTCGATTTACACCCAAAAGACTTCTCATTACATCCAAAATTTAACTGAGTTTTATGGTAGTTACACCCCTTTTTACAATTACTTAAATGGAGTAGTCCTAAACACCAAAAAAAAAAAAATCTTTAAAATTAAAAAGAAAAAAATCAGCTAACTCTTACTCTATATAATGGCTGTCTTTCCAATGTTGACATATTAAACTCGACCTGGCAATGCTAATAAGTGACCAAATACAACCTAGAAAGTAAAGAAACGTCCCAACCATAATGGCTTGTTAGTCAAGATCATGGATGACGAAATCTCACCCGATGATTTGACCTGCCTTCAGCCTTCTGTATCAAATCAAGTGAAATTGGGACTTCGCTCCTGGCTTCTTGCACGTCCCACTCAGCACATGCAATAAATCGTGGAAGAGGTTAGGTTTTCATTTTTATGATTTGATCAGTTACGTTGCGTTCGACAAAAAATTAAATAAACCAAAAAATTGAGGTCCCTTTGTTTTTCATTTTTTTTGCTAGATATGGTGGGGCAATACATGTGAGTGGAAGAGCAACCATATAAACTCTATAATAAACTAGTCAAGAACATAAGATTTAACCAACTAAATCACAACCGTAGCATCAAGTATGTTCTATATATACAAATACTGAAGTATTTAATGAGTAGATTTTATATTATATATTTTACCCTAATCTTAGTGTATTTTGGTTAATATATTGGAAGAATTTTGATACTTTGAATTGTATTTTCAATATAGGACTTTCGACTTCCTTAGGAGCAAAACAGGACCAAATGGACGAATTTTAGAGTAATTCTAGTTGGAGGACGTTTGTGAGTCACTTAGCTTGATCGTATCAAAATTTGGGATTTTTCCACCAAGCGGTTATTTTCTGGCGATAAAATAAAGAAGCAGTGCGCAGTGCTGGAAAATGACGTTTTTGGGCTTAAATTGCGTTTTTGGAGCCCAAGATGACCTCGGATGGGTTCGTGGCCTTCTGGAGAAGTGTTCAGAATATTCCAAACATTAAATCCAGCTATATTGGGCCAGTTTTGGGGCAGCTTATGGGTCAAAAACGTGGCTGTTCAGTTTTTGGACGAATTTTACTATTTTTATTTAGGGTTTTTATTAATTTTAGTTTCCTAGGGTTTGTGTGGTGGCTTAGCAAATATATTGCTTGGCCGTCTACAATTTTTGGGGGTACGCTTTCTTTTATGCAATTTTGGAGACAGAGAATTGTTAGGGTTTTGAAGACTTTTACTTGAAGGTGCTTTCAATCCTTTTCTTGAATATATTTTCTATGATTTCAATTATGAATATGCGGAACTAATTTCTTTTGCTAGGGCGAAGCCTTGAGCCTTAGCATGAATATGTGATTTTTATTTAATTGTTTATGATTGATTGCATGCATACTTTGAATTGTTAATCACCGAGATAAAAACTATCTAATTGTCTTAATGCATGATCACCATTAGGATCTTTAGAAAAGTAATTTGATGCAATTTTGGTCGGAAGGTTCCCTGAAATTGACGCTGGCTTCTTGTGATTAATAATTGTAATTTCTCTTATGATGAATATCACGTCTTAAGGATTATATGGTTTTTCAAAGGATTTTCATAAAGCATAATGAGTCTTTCATGTTCAGATTTGATCCGAATGTCCGGACGGGTTGCATGTTAGATATACATTCTATGTTGGAGGTTCCAAGTAGAATATGAATTAGGAAAATCTAACCTTCAAAGTGGCATGTGTAGATCATAAGTAATTGGCAAAAATTCATAGGATTGCTAGGTGATGGTGAAACCCTAATGCTTTCTTAATTTTATTCTCCCAAAACTGTTTCTTTTCTCTCTAGCTCTAATATTGCAAATTGTTTATTTTAATTCATTAATTTCGTTTTTATTTTAATTTGGTTATAAAATCAATCACTTCAATTTCTACTTTACAATAATTAAACGGAATCTGATTAGTTCGAATTATTTAATAATCCCTGTGGAGACGACCTTGCGAGATCCGTTTATACTACAATAACCTTGTGATTCTTGCAAGTAAAATAGGAGATTTAAGCCCGTTCACATGAGTAGTAAAAATCCTATCAGTATTCTCAACAATACATACCTGCAGACTGCTTACGAAGTCTTTCCCATGTGTGCTGTCAGAAGATAGCAGATGGTGTTGTTGCATGTGTGGCGTAATGTCACTTGTATTTTGAATTGTAAAGTTGTATGTTGCAGTGTATATAACAAAGCCTTCCCGTAAGGCCTGAGATATGAAATTGATTTGAAATGCTGTTGTGTTTCTTAGTTTAACACATACATGGATGAAGAAGCCATGGACAAATCCACACACAACCTTCTCCTCTCTGCAAAACTCAATGCTCTCCAAGTTATAGGTAATTGGAACAATAAGAGCGTGTTTTGTGAGGGCAGGGGCTTGTGGTTTTATACTACAAGACTTGGATCGCCCTATAACAATCCCACAAGAAATACAAGACTACATTCCTTATATCAATATGAGTCCTATAATTGAGCAAACACAAGAGTCCTCAATATACCAATATGATTGGATTAACTCTTGTCAACATGATTTAGACTTCTTTATAATATCAATTATCCCAAGACTTGTAAGAATCATACTCATACTCTTACAGTGAGAACTAGGGATATAGTATTAGAAAAGTTGATGGATGATGAGAGAAATGCAGAAGCAAATATATAAAAACAAATGTACACAAAATTTATGGGCAAAAACACTTTTAGTTGGACTTAAAGTGTTTTTTTTTTTCAACTAAGAAGCACTCTTAATTATTTTTTGCCAAACACTATCAAAAAAGTGCATTTGGTTATCTGATAGCTCTCTTAGTTATTAAAAATACTTTCAAACACACACACACACATATATATATATATATATAGGAAAAATTAGTATCCGGTCCCTAGTTCTTACTGTTCATTGACTAAGACCTTATTAGTTCTCAAATTTTGATTCAAGTCCCTAGCATTAATGTGATAATGAATTTACATGTTTATTATATAATTTTTTAAATATAAATATTAGTAATTAATTTAGGGTTTAATACTCACACCTCTATTAAACTTCTAATTAATTTTCAATTCAAACATTTTCAAAATAATAAAAAAATTAAATTAAATTAAGTTTGTACCTATTAGTTTTTTTTATATATATAAAAAGATTCTCAATTTTTTAATCTTAAATGTACCCATTCATATAATTTTTCAATTTTTTAATCATCAATGTACCCATTCTCAAATATATCAATTTGTTATATGTAAAATGTACCCTTTTTTAATATAAAATCCATTCAAATTTTTTAATCCATGTTTAAACTTATATGGGTACATTCTTTTTTCGTTGATTTGAGAATGTATCCATGTTTTGGTACAATAACTTTTTTTGTTAATTTTGGTTAATGTACCCATACATATATACACACACACACACACACAATATAATAGAGAGTATAATTTATATTTTATTATTTTTAATCCCATAAATTATGGGGTTTATTTAAAATCTCATTAATATAAACAATTAGAAATTTCAATTTTTAATTTTTAATTTTTAATTTAAAAAAATATAGTAACTTACATTATTACATTAATGTCAGGGACCTCAATCAAAAACTAAAGACTAACAAGGTTTCAATCAAAGAATATTGATAGCTAAGGACCGAATCCAAATTGTCCCATATATATATATATATGACTAGGATATGACTAGGATTGAAAGCTAAGTAATTACTAAGACAAGAAGAGATGCCTGATCATGAAACACGGCCCGACATGATATATATCATAAGTTTTTTGTACTCACTCTACCTAATTAAGTAATAATACATCCGCTGCTGGCTTCTTTTATCTAACAACAGAAAATACACAGATCTTCTATCCTCAACGGGGCTAGTTCTTTGTGTTGAATGTAGATAAAAAGCTTGTCGATCTAAAATCCGGTACAAAAGTACGCGAAACTACGCACGTATAGAACCCTCAGTTAATAATTTAATAGTTTGATCCAGGAGTATCCCAGGTCTCAGGTATGATGGAGTGAAGCATACAGTAGTTGTCTTGGTAGCCACCACACTCAGTAGTAGAATCCGATGAATTCGGAGTGTCATGTATAACCTCTTCAATCTTTTCGTAAACTTCTTCAACAGTTGGCCTGTTTGTAGGGGAAGCTGATACACACTTGAGGGCAACGTTGAGTAGAGGAAAGGCCCATTCTTTTGCAGCTTTAGCAACCTCCTTGTCAAAGACCTCCCCCGTCCACTGCTCCTTAACCATGGCAGTCACCCACTTAGGAAGGTCTATCCCAGTTCCTTCTACAGTTTTGCCCGTTAGTAACTCCAGAAGAATCACGCCGAAGCTATAAACATCTCCCTTCTCCGATAACAATTATTCTGGGGTTGTGTAACCATTGGAGGAAATGAGACACCCTTTCTTGGGGTCGAAGAAACTTGAAAGCCCATACTCGCTAATCAGTGGTTCATCATTGTCATCCAAGAGGATATTTGAAAGCTTGAGATTCCCATGAGGGATGCAGTCATCAGACCCTTGATATATGAAGTCTAGGCCCCTTGAAATGCCGCATGCTATGGAGAGCCGAAGCCTCCATGGAAAATCCCTCTTACCTTCTGTGTAACCTGAACATATCACAGAAATAGATAATCAAAATGCCTGATTCAGTTAAGAGCATTTGTAAATTCTTTGAAAGTGTATAAGGAATATGCAGATAAGGGCAGTGTGTTTGCCCCCTGCCCCACCCCTAAGATTGAATAGTTTGATGTGAACGTACTCTCAAGCAGGTTTAGCAGACTTCCATTGCTTTGAAACTTGTAGATCAAAACGTTTTCTTCATTGGTGGAATTGTAACCAACAAGTGGTAGAATGTTGGGATGCTTTATAATCCCTATCTGCCTCATTGTTTGGCCAAACTCCTCAAAGGGTACTTGCAGTTTCTTCAACCTTTTGACTGCATATAGGGCATTGTTTTTCAGTATTACCTTATAAAGGCGCTGCTAAAGGACTGATTTCTCAAATCTGTTGTGGCTTCAAGGAGGTCCTCCAATTTAAAACTCTCATGTTCTTCAACAAAGAACACGAGCTCCAAATGGTTCTCTACTGGCTTCTCTCCCTCTTGAACATTAGGAGGAGGCATTTTCAGCGGAGAGTCTCAAAGCGACTTCAGAATCTCCCTGTCTTCAGCTAACTTAGCAGCCTGCCTTCCTACAAAGTACATGAATAAGAGAAAGAAGCCAAGCCCCACAACTAATGGTACCATGCATTTGTATCTCTTGTACCATGGTGTAGAGGGACGTGGAACACTGTCACTGCCACCATTCGGGCTCTCGGACTCTGTCACTATGGCCATCGAATCTACTACCTTTTCCTGCTTCTGGGCACCATATCTTTGTAATATCCTCGATTTCTTCACGTATGTATGAACCGGCTGAAATCCCTGTTCAAAGCGTGAGGCAGTGCTGGTAAAATGATTGTTAGAGACGTCCAATCTCCTCAAATATCTCAGTTTAGTCAGAGCCTTAGGTATCCTCCCACTCAGAATATTGCTGCTTAGATTCAAATAGGTTAGCCTTGTGCAATGCAATATTGATTTAGAAATAGTTCCCCCAATTTGGTTTCTTGCTAAATTAACAACTGGGAGCTTACATAGTGAATCTGCATCAAGTATGCCACTAAGATTCAGATTTTCAAGCCTGATTTCTGTTATCGAAGTCGAGTGAGAGCTGCATGTCACACCCTTCCATTTACGCATGCAGGGATTTTGCCGCGTAGGTGCATTCTGGCCAACTTTTAACACATCTTGAGGATAACAGCTCTAACGCATTGCAGCAAAGCTTCAAACTCTGATGATTTGCCTCCCATACATACCGCAATTGAGCAAGAAAACACCCCAATGCATATCAGTCCCTTCAGAAACAGATTGAAAGCTCTCCTGCTCGGCATTTTTGTTGGCTCTACTTCTTTGATTGACTCATCACAAAGTGAATGAACTGTGATAAAATACGTTCCCATTTCTCAAAATTCCCCCCCGTGTTCTTCGCAAGTCTTGAAGTATCTCAAAGCAGGAATATAACTTACAATATCAAGGTGCATGGCTCAATTACTTTGGTGCATCAGATGAGGATATCCTTCGTATACTACAAAGTTTTTCATAACTATTTTCTCCAATGTCTGAGATAACCAATGTTTTGAATAATTAATTTTCTTAATCCGTTATCTTTAATGTGATAAACAACAGCCATAAAAGCGCGCGTTTCAAATAACTTGCATAAAGTCAGTTAAGCAGTCTGCATTCAAATGAGTTTTGGTTAGGAAAATAGTTTCAACACACCCTTTTCTTTCATGTAAATTCATGTTTATTTGTGTCTCTTAATTCTCCATTGATTTATTCAACTCATAAACATTAATAAACAAGAGTATGCATGTCAAGAAAAGGTGAAAACATCATCACTTCTCTTCTTATTTTCTATTCAATTACAATTGAGGAACTAAATACTGGATTATTCACTCTGACGGGTGTATCTACATGAAGTACTAATTATATGACTTCATTGGTATTTAAACTCAAGATACGGTATTTTGACTAAAAATTTCTAGAATTTGATATTTAAGCTCGAGTTCTCTTTAGTCTTTTTATCAAAGAAGAGACATGTCAAGGTAGCATTGGTTCACGTCAAAGAGGTGGACATAAGGGTTCACCCAATTGGTTAGTGCAAGTATTCCCTTGTTATAATCATGAGGACGTGACACTATAATTACATAACGTTTCTTTCAAATAAAAAATAAATACATAAAGAAAAGAAGATTGCAAAATGATTTTTTTTAGTTGAAATAAAAATCCCAAATCTTATAATAATTATGGCTCGTTTGATAAGTGGTTTTAAATGTCTAAAAACAATTTAGAAAAAATATTTTTGCAATCAGTTCATTATATTTATAAAGAAAGGTGACAAGATTAATGGATTATCTTAGGATAGTGTTCTTGTTATATTTCTAAGCTAACTACAAAATACGCCTTTAATTTTAAAGTTCATTGTTATTTTCAAAAGGGGGATCAACCTTTCAATTTTTTCACATAACTAACATGGCGATTAAGAGTAAACAATCCAAACCACTCTAATGTTGGCAAATCGTTAACAATTTGTGAAACGAAAATCACATGCTTCTACCCTTTACAAACAGAAATCAAATGTTTCTAGTATAGTTTGAATTTTTAGCAGTTTAATATCTCAAGTAGTAATCTTAACGAAAATGAAAAATTTGATCCCTTTTTAGAATTGGCCCAAATCATATTAGGGTTTATTGATGCAAGACTACAAGATCCTTTTACTTGGGTTGGAAGAAATGGAAGGTTCTGCCAGCGTGGCCACAAACCACAGCCATGTCTTTCCCAACAAGACAGTGTGTGTGACAGCAAAGACTACAACGGGGCAAATTGCCCACTCACAGTTTTCAATATCATTGTGTTTTGCTTCACTCCAAGAGACCCTTTTCAAATCCATTTTTTGCTTGTGAAGGTAATCGTCTCTTTTCCAGGTTGGCTCATCAAACCAAATATGCTGGCCATTGCTCATTCCACCAGTTGACTTAAACCCATTTTTTTTTATTAATTAATATAGCTTGAAATCTAATTTATGCTTGTTTTTAATTTGATTCAACACTCTAAGCAAATGTCTTCTAAATCTATTAGAACTTTAAGTGAAAGGATTGCTCTCGTGGATATATCTTATTCTTCAATCCACTATGTTTCGGATTCAACTTACTTACCTCCGCATAATTTAAATGAATTTTTATTGTAGATTATTCTTATCTTTTGTTATAAAAGAACAAAAAATAAATAAATAAATAAATCTATTAGAACTACTTTTGTTTACAAATAATAAATCATCTTTTATAATATGCACATTGTTGCAGTCCTATTAGATTAGGAATGTGATTGTGTAAATTCTAGTATATCTTGGAATATTTCTTATATTCCTATTAGGAGTTGATTACCTTAGAGTTGTAATCCTAAAAGGGTAAGGAACTACTATAAATAAAGGCACAATAGGGGTGGAATAGAACACACCTCACAATTACACACCTCTCTCTTCTCTCTACTATTGATGTACCTTTCTCTCTCTCTATGGCCTCCATAATTGTTTAGTAAATTATGCCTACAAGACGTTATCAGCACGCTTTTGACATTATACTAAAGAGAGTTTATTCTTCAATCAGGGGAGTATTACGTTTTGATCATTCTTTTTATGATTAATTTATTATTTTATTGAATTAATCTACATGCTATTGATTCAATTTAATTTTTCTATGTTGAACATGATACAACGCATTGGAGATGCAATTCCGACTTTCTAAGAAGGATCTTCTACAAATTCAAAGGCTTTTGTTGTTTTCTGCAAATTAGGTGTGCTTAAAATAAAGGAAGATATTTGAAACAACCATGAAGCATGAAAACATTCCCCATAATCATGAACCCCCTACATTTATATTTACCTTATATATATATATATATATATATATTGTATATGTTCCATATATTTGTCAATATATATTTGTTTCATGCATTGCGCAATTATATTTGTTATGTGGAATATGTGAGTCAAAGTATAAAATCAACCCTTTTAGAAGCAAATTTAGGGTTTCCATAACCCTAACAAAATCGGAAAAAAAAAATTTAAAAAAAAAAAAAAAGAGGAAACAAAAGGGAAATCAAGCTCTGTCCCTAGACCCAGGCCGCGGCAAGCTTTGCTTGCTAGGCTTTTGCCACACATGCACCCAGGCCCGCAGCTTGCCTGCCTTGTCGCCAGCCCAAATGATTGGGCTTGGTTTCCCACGGCCCAAAAATGACACCAGTCTCTTGGCTGAGCTTCCCATGCCAAAACCAAGCCAGCCCCGTGTTGGGCCCGAGTCCCCCACACCTCTTGAGGCCTAAACCAACAACCTGGGCAATTGTTTTTTGTTTCACACCCCAGGCCAACTTTCACTGGGCCTTGACTTGTGCCCCCTTTGCAACCCAAAAAGCCAGTAGCTTGTTGGGCTACATGCTTTCGGCCTGTGGCATGAAGCCACCCCCGTGTGCTACTATTGCAGCCATACTCAAGTTTTTTTCCCTCATGGCACCCAACCCAAAATTGGGCTATGGTATTTTCGACCTAACGCTCTTATTTAGCATTTTAAATAATTTTAACTTGAATGTTATTATTATTTTTACTTCTACAATCGACCATGTATGGTCCGATTTATTGAATTAATTAAAAGTGACTTGCAGTCCATTAATCTGATAATGAATCCAAAATTATTGACCTGAATATCACTTTTGGACATTAACGATTCAAAATTTTATTTTTATACTTTGAACCGTTGACTTACTTTCGTAGTCCTGAAGCTCTCACACTTAAGTTCTCGATGAAACACAAATCCACTACACTTAAATCAGCATATTGCATTATGTGTTCTTGCAGGAACCTCTCTTTTATGAACTAAATATTCATAAACTAAATTGAACCTATAGTTTCAAATTTAGTGCCTTTGAAACCCGAAGTTTTCTTAAAACAATACACCCATGAAAACCCGACGTATTTTATGAAAACCATGTCTTATAACTCGAATGTTCTAACTTTGATGCTTATGGATGATTCATTCCCATAGCACCAATCATAATCTTGTTCCCTCCAAATTCAATGGATTGTCGAACCGTCACAAGTTAGATTTCCCTTATTTGGACTTTTGTAATAGAAACCACTTTATGTGGGGTACAAGACATTGCCTGAAGCACACTATGATTATGTCCATGAATGAATACGATTCTGAAGTTTATAAATCCGATCGAATTTTGACTAGAGAATACTTTTATCGTCCTTCCATGTTTCTAAATCACTCTTGAAGCAGCAATGTAGAAAGCGGAAGTTTACCAAATTCTCGGATTTGATTACTACCATAAGCATGAGAGAACAACATAAACTCTATTCGGATGGAGTCTACCGAATGGCTCGACCTAGTTTGTTCATAGCTTACTAAATGGTTGTGCCTTGCTTCGGTAGAAGTGCACCGAACAGTGCTGTTCTACTTTGTCAGAGACTTACCGAACAGACCCTTCCAGCTTTGGCTAGAGCCTACCGAATCTAATTCGGGGTCTATCTCTCTCACGATCCAATTTTGAATTTGTTTCTGCAACATATGGTAAAATCAGGGCTTGCCTTGGTGTGGCATCACGCCCGAAGCTTGATCCTTAGCACCTAAGACCTAAACTTCAAGAATAAGGGATAACATTCCAAACCTTAACCCTACAGAATCTACTTCCTTCTCGATGGAATAGATCATTGGTTATGCACTTGTTCGTGCCCCTACCAATGTCGTTGAGGAGTATCATTCTAGTAGTCAATCTATGAGATTGATTTTGCTCCACCACACATCGTTGAAATAGCAGAATTTTGACATGGATGGCCTTGTTGGCCAAATCCCCTTAGTAAACCATTTACTTTGTGAACATTTTTCCATGTTCTTAGATTCAAGTTTGTTGTATGTTTTACTTATGGATAATCTTATTGATATTGTCCTCGAATATGAGTTAATTGAATCATGTTTCTTAATACATGTGACTGATTTAATTAAACACGTGATTAGGTAGGACACACTCCTCATTATATGAATGGTACTGAATTACCATTTAAGAGACCTTAAATTCTCCCTATTGTTGAGTTTTTAAGGATATTTGAGAGAACAATGATCATAAATGAAACCACCGAAGAAAATAAAGTGGAATATCTTTGCACCACCTCCAAAAATGAGCATGCAGCTTTGATTTAAGGCCAATAGACTGCCTCCCAACTAGGAACACATTACATGTGGCTGGCCTGGAGCCAAGTGATTCAAGCTATTTACTTGTTTTGGCACGACTTTTTTCGGACACTTAGGTCGAACAATGATGCTACGACGCATCTCCTTACTCGAAGTAAGGATCTTATGCCTACAAGCACAATTGCCAAAGCCCGCTTGTTTGGGAAATTGATTTTCTATATCTTTCTTCGCAAAGATACGAAATCACCTTTTTCACAATGGATTCAAGGGAATATATGTGGACTAATCCAACCAAAATGTGGACCATATAAATACTTATGATTTTGGTTGATGAATCGACAAACTGGTCATATGTTTGTCCACACATGTTGCTGCTAAACCTCCTGGCCGATTAAGGGTTCATTGCCCTAGTTTTCCCTTAAGGTCCAGGAGACTGGATAATGCCGAAGAGTTTATATTGACGGTTTTCGATAAAGTATTGCATGTATTTTGGGTTTATAATTGAACATCGAATTCCCATATTCACCCTAAATAGCCTCACCTAGCGATCATAAAGCGCAATTTAAATGATCGCCCAGATTTGGGTACATGTACCAAGTTTTCGGTTTTTTCCTAGGGCTATGTAATCTTGTACGCAGTTATGTTGGTCCGCCTTGAGGCCCATTGTCACCTAACCTATATAACGTTACAGTTGGTTACTGGGAATGAACCTAACGTTTTTTGTATTTATGCATTAGAGTGTGCATTCCATGTGCCAAGTTGTGCCCCCGCAACATACCAATATGGGTCCTTAAAGAATGATATGAATCTTTGTCGATCATGATTCTCATTCACACTAGCTCTCTTCAAGCTTTTGCACACGATCTTTTTACTGCTCATTTACTGATTGTCACTTTAATGAGACAACCTTCCCGCCATTAGGGGGAGATAAGAACGTCAATGTTCTTGGAGAACAACACAAAATTGCGTGGACGTTGCCCACTATGTCTCATCTTGATCCCCGTACCGCACAAGTGTGATAAGCAAGTGCGATGAATTCTAGCTTTCAAAATGTTGCTCCAAATGTATTCCTCTTATCTAGCTGAAGTAACGAGATCATATACCAGCTGCAAACATGCCTGCAAGGATAGACGAACTTAACGGACGTTAAGTCAACATTCCTGGAGGGTGTGCCACCCCCGTTGGACGGTTTGAATGCCCCTGTTGGACAGTCCGGTACACCGGCGGATAGTCAATCAATCTATCTTGGCCTAGAGCACGACATATCACTCAGTTTATAAGATTCACTTCCCTAGAAGGGGAAGACAAAGCACAACAATGAATCCATACTTGATCGCTGTCTCAAATCATTTCCATCTCATGAGATTAATCCGGATTACTCCTTAGACTTGAAGTTCTTGGTCCAGTACACTAGTTTGGATGAGCTAAATGGAATTGAAATAAGATTACCATCGATGATGTTTCACTTATACGGTAGCTACCGACATAAATGAAAAGCGACGATATCGAACCATGTTTCGTTGATTAAGTGACAACGTAGAACTGATTGGACAACCGAAATTACAATCCAGATCAAATTTCTTACCAAAGTGTGTTTAGACCTGTCGTTCCTACACTGCCTAAGGAAGCGTTATGAGATGAATGAAATAGTGCGATATGATGCATGCCTTACGGCGCAAGGTTTTTCTAAAACGTCATGTGATTGGTAGCAGCATTATGAAATATGGTTAGTGTTTTCTCCATGGGGATATAAATGTAGAGATTTATATGTAAGTTCCCGAAGAATTACATGGACGGGTTCAAATAGTTCCAAAACCACGAAACACCCTATTAACTTGTTTGAGGCGTTCACTTACAATTCGACAGATGCAGTATACCCTTCCAAGTGATTATTTGATCGGTCAGGGATATGAATTATGCTCTTGCGTGTTAAACTATGAAGTCTTATTCCAAATTACTAGAGTTACAGTTTTTGTCATTGACATACATCTCACTAAGACTCTGGAAGAGTTTGAGAAAACTACCTCACACCTGAAGATGGAATTTGAAATGAAGGATCTTATGCCTTGACCTGAAGTTCAAGCGTTGTTCTGACAGTACCTTAGTCTACCAGCCGAACTACACCCCGAATGTGTTACCTTTGAGTATACCTATGATTGTCCATATGTTATATGCAAATGAGACCCTTGAAGAGGTTATGGAATCCAGAATTCCATATCTAAGGTTCAACTTTGCGCTTCGTTGTACTTAGTTCATTGTATTAGACAAGACATCTCTTTCGTTGTTGATCTATTGGTAAAGATGCAACACCGCGCCTACATGTAACCACTGAATTGGTATTAAAGAAGTACCTTGAAAGTACTACAAGGGAAAATCCCAACGCATCTCAACTGATCCAACCCCCCCAGATCCTCGAAATGATGTTTGCCTTGTTTGTTATGTTGACACTTGTTACTTATTAAACCCGCATAAGGCAAAATCCCCGAATCATTATGTCTTTACTGTTAGGGATATTACAATATCTTGGAGGTCCCCAATATGACCTTAGTTGTGAAATCTTCGAATCGTTCCAAGACTCACCTTACTTCACTACGCCACAAGTAAGACATGGTTAGGAGTTCTTGTTGAGAATTTTGAAGTACTTGCTGTGTTTTTCATCCATCGTTGAGTCCCAACGACGATCCATGAAGATTATGCCCATGTATCAACCCGACCAAGACATGATACATCAACGAAGTCAACACCAAGACATATTGCGTCTACACCACATCAGCAAAGCATCAGGAGATTGAAGTCAAGCAAGTTGATCCCAGACAACCTTGCCAACCTCTACACGACGTCACTGCAACCTTCCAGAAACTTGTCCGAGGAATTGGTATGCCTAACTATCATATGCAATGCTTGTAGTTCTCATTTGGAAGTTATGTCAAACTCAGAGGGAGTATCCAAAAGTATACTCACTTGATCTTAATGTACTATTTTTCCTTAAGATTAGGAGCATTTTTCCCACCGGGTTTTTGCTACATAACTAGGTTTTAACGAGGCACCCATCCTGGGCTGATCATACCCTTGTAAGCTCTTCTACTTGCGTCCAAAAGACGTATAGTTTTGACTTAATGCAACTTCTCACTTTTCTCCTTAATTTATGGGTTTTCTCCCACCTTGGGTTTTACCATAGCAAGATTTTGTGAGTTTTACCTTTTTTATGCATTCTTCCGTTGATATGAGACTCGCATTTGCTCATTGTACCGACGACTTCATCAATTGTACTTGCTTCATCACTGAAGACCTGATGCGCCATTTACTTGAGTATTTACACACTCAAGGGGGAGTGTTGCAATCCTATTAGATTAGAAATGTGATTGTGTAAATCCGAGTATATCTTGGAATATCTCTTATATTCCTATTATGAGTTGATTACCTATTAAGAGTTGTAATCCTGAAAGGGTAAGGAATTAACCTTCCCTACTACTATAAATAAAGGCACAATGTGGTGGAATATAACACATCTCACAATTACACATCTATCTCTTCTCTCTACTATTGTCTTACCTTTCTCTCTCTCTCTGACCTTCATAATTGTTCAGTAAATTATACCTTCAGCATACATAAAATATTTAATACATACAAGTATTCTAGTCAAGTTAGAAGACCGAAATCCTCGTAGTTATATAGCATCCCAATATTTGAATAAATCAAGCACCAACAAAAGAAGAGACTCCAAGTTTTTCGGTCTACAACAATGATATTATAATGTGAAAACCCTATGTACAAAATGAACACCATGATCTTCAATCAAAAGCTCCCCCAAACTAAAAATAAGAAACAAATTCGTTAAAAACCCACCTTCCGGTCCCTCCCCATATATCCCTACAAATCGGTGTACAACTAAGAATGACAACGATTTGGTTTGGGGACGGAAATGTTATATCCATTCCTATAACCACGGAAATTAACCATATTCATAACCGCAAATTAACCATCAGGTATTATCTATAACCATACCCACCAGGTAACCCTATCGGCTAACAGGTATATCCATCTTCGTCAATACAAAAAATATATTGGTTCAGTTAAGACATTATAAGTTAATAGATATTAATTTCGTCATTAAACATTTGAGGTATAAAATGATCCAATGAATGGATCTTGTTGAGTATAAAAATTAAAACACTGATGATGTTGGCTTGTCTTTGATATCTTATATAAGCACCATTGAGTTCACATTGATTTTGATTCAAAATTTTACTTTCCTACAAAATGCAACTTTTGTATTCTCAAGATAATGGTTCGGTGAATAATGGATATACAAATACAAATATATATATATATATATATATATATATATTATACTATTATATTATATATAAATTATATTATTTACTAATCGGGTCAGATTCGATTATGGATACGGTTTGGAAACTCTATAACCATAACTGAATAATATAAACGGTTTTTCCTTATATCCAAAATATACCCAAACTTCCATACCCAAATTCGTTCAATTCGGACAATTATTCACGGTTATCGGGTTTAATGACTAGAATTGACATCCCTATGTACAGCTTGAACAAAAGCTAAAAATAAAAATCAAAGCACTAATCCACATTAGTGGTCAATTACACAAACCTAAAGACATAGATAGTTATGAGTGCTCATGGTCAAACGTCTTGATCATTATCGTCGTCTTCAATTTCATCAAAGAACGCGTCCTTGAGAAGTTCAGTGGCAGAAGGTCTCGCTCTAGGCTGGGTGAGGCACTTGTCAACAAACGCTCTCACCTCCGGGTCTTTGATTTTGTCCAAGGCCTGGGGTCTTACTCCTGAGGATACCTTCTTGTATATTTTAGCAACATTGTCACATTCACTATAGGGTATTTCCAAGGTCACCATCTCAAGCACACACATACCAAATGAGTAAATGTCCACCATCTCAGTGTAATCTCCTTCATACAGCTCTGGTGCCATAAATTCTGGGGTCCCTAACACTGAATGCGCTGAATGGTTCTTCCCCACTATAGCAGCCAATCCCAAATCACCAATCTTCACCTATTGAAACCATAAACAAAATTTTAGAAAAAAATTCAGAACCTACATAGAAACAAATCTGATAAAAAAGAACCAAAAATAGAAACAATTTCTTATATAAATCCGAAAAATAAAATCTGAAAAAAACACATGAATAAGATGGAAAAACACCCAAAACCGAAACTATTTCTTATTGACAAAACCCTAATAATTCGAGTAATGACTGGCTCAATATATGACTTAACTCAGATCCCCATCCGCTCTATAAAAATAATCAATAATAGAGAAGGAATAATAATTATACCTGGCCAACATTCCCATTGATAAAGACATTGCTGCAATTGAGATCTCTATGAATAACACAAGGTTCATGAGTATGCAAATACCGCAACCCTGCCAAGATCTGTTTTGACCACTTCTTCAAGGCCTTCATCGAAACATGCTTATGCTTCTTCCTGTACTCCCTCAAATTCCCGCTTGTACAAACCTCAGTAATAAAATTGAGAGTGTTATGCTCAGCGTCCCGCCACACGTTGTACAAAGTGATGATGTTCTTGTTCGTCAACGACCTCAGAAGCCGAACCTCGGAGTAGAGCCTCTCGATCATAGCAGGATCGTTGGTAAAGTTACGTAGCTTCACTTGGTTCCATGCTACCTCTATGCCCTCCTCTTGATCGAAAGCCCGGTACACCTTTTTCACAGCCCCGCAACCTAGGAGCTCGTTGTACCGGCCGTAGCGGCCCGTTGGGTCGATTTCTATGAATGGTTCTTTGTCGGACTGATCTTCGTTTTCACTCGGCATCTGCCAGGAACAAACAAATATTAGCCCAGAAAAAATAAAAAGCCTCAAAATCAATGGAAGTACTAATTATAGAAGCTCAATTATTGTTGATACAATAAAATTATAACATATTTGTTGAAACTAAAAACGAATAACAATCTTAGAACAAAGCCGGAAAATAAAAGTCAAAGATTAAAGCTGCAACCCTATATTATAAGAAATTAAATTACCATGATAATACTACTAGCCAAAATTAACAACGTGTATGCCGATCGATGAATTTCTTGATCTTGATTATTGAAAATAAAGAAAAGTGAGAAGAAAGAGAAAGATGGGTACTTTTAAGCTATCAGAAACTATTCTCTGCTGCAGAAACTCACTTGAAACAACTAAAAGGTAGAGGAATGAAAAGAATTGGGTTTAGGAGGCGTATATATAGGAGATGTGAGAGTTCATGGAGGAGTAGGTGGGGATGGCCAATCCTGACTAATGCAGGGTTAGTGAAAATTAATTGGGATGCTAAACAACATTGAGCCGTTACTAGAAAGTTTTCTATCAGGATTGGATTCGTCAAGATAAGAAGATATATATAAAACGAAGGTAGAACTAATTTAAATTACTACTTTCTATATAAAAATTGCTCTAACTGGTTTCCTGGAGAATCATTTTGCTTATTTTGTTGAGTTAAGGTGGGAATCGGTTTCGTGTGAAAAATCTGAAATCAAATATTTTTTTTTCTATTCAGCCCGAAGTCAACTGGGATCAGGATCTTAATCATCCGCCTAGGCCGACTGACGGTCTGGATGAAACCAGAACGTTCCAAAATAAAAGAAGAAGGTTTTCTAGCGGTAAATAAATCACATGGGCTTAATTGTCAGCAAATGAAAACAATGAAAAAAAAAGAATAGAACGAAGGAAAGTCACCCCACCCACACAAGCTGTTTGTTTCATTTCAATTTTATCGGATGTCCCCAAAGGAACCACACAAGCTGTTTATTTAGCCAGAAAAAAACCGACTGAGGATGGAGAAGGGTCAGAAAATTACCCAATGCAGGGAACGAAGGACCTATGTGTCGGTAGCCTTGGGGTGTAGTCCAAGTGAAATTTTGAGAAAATAAATAATTAGTAGTAAATTAGTAATCAATTATTCCATTGCAGCCCACTGAGTTTTTAGCAAGGAATAAAATATTGATGATATCGGAAATATCGGTAGTCCAAAAACATGGAAATTTCGATGAAAATATCGGGATATTATCGATATCGATAAAAATTGAATAAAAACCACGGAAATTGTAAGAAAAACTTGGAAATTTTTATTGAAACTTTGCAGGATGTTTATTTAGTCAATTATCTATTAGTTTATCACACAAAAAAAAAATAGTAGGAAATGCATTGCATGATGGATTTAACTGATTTAAGTTAATTATATAGCAAGTTGGCAAACATTGTGAGTGTAGAAAATATTTAGTAATTAATAAAAGAAGTTTAAACACACCATAATCATTTATATATAATGAATTAGTACAATATTTTACAATTTATACATTGCATGGTAAGATACATGAGTGACTTAGTACCACATAGAGTTCCTATGAGGTTCAAATTTTCACTATCTTCATCATCTCTATGTGTAGAGTAAGTGTATTGTGAAGAGTAGTCATCAAATGATAAATCCCCAAAATAGTTTTGCATGTAATTGTTAACATGTCACCCATATGGATCCGAGATTAGTTGACGTTGTCCACAAGCAAAATCATTTGAAGATTGAGTCTCGGATTCTTTATATGATTCCATCCCAACAGGAATGGGATATAAAGGGTAGGGAAATGGTTGGTTATGAGTATAACCATAGTTACTACTTCATACTCCAACAGAGTCCGAAGTTATAGATAACGAGTCATCTTCTTGACTTGACAAAGCCCCATTGCCTCTTTCTCTACGAGTATAGTCATTCCCTATGGCACCAATTCCTGGTCCTACCCGCCTACTGCCATGGTCCTCATCCTATGTTGCATGCGTGAAGTTTGCCTCACCAGTGAAACGGTTCATAAATCCGGGAGGTGGTCCAACATAGTTTCCATATCCACCACTACCTCTAGCTCCACTATATCCTTCATCATTCCCACCTCCGGTGGTAGATGAGTCTCCTAATCTTGTACTAGATCTATCATTAGTATCAGCATGATCTTGTGGTTGTGTAGGATTGGAAGAAGGTGGAATTCCAGTGTTTCTTGGTCTTGAAAAGTTCTTCCAAAGAGTCAGCACTGCTAGATCCCACCTCCTCCTCTAATACTCTTTCTACATTTATCCCTTCATTACGTGCTTCTTCAGCAACTCTAGGAGCTAGGTTACCTTCATCATCATCTAAATGAAGAGGTCTAATCCATTGATAAAGTTGGTTACCCTCTGTATCATCATCTTCAACAACAATATCAAACACATCTAGTGGGTCACCACGGTCGACATGATCTATTTCTGCTTCCTTATCTCGAATTTGAAGTTTCATGTTGTAGTAGCAATAAACTAATTTTTCCAACCTACTATGAGCCAACCTATTTCTTTGCCTTGTGTGTATGAGTGCAAATGTACTCCAATTTCTTTCACAAGCAGATGAGAAAGTTGTTTGTGATAATACTTTGATTGCTAACTTTCTCACAGTTGGTGCATCAGTCCCATACATGATCCACCATTCAGCTATAATGAAAAACAATGTTGATAAGCCTAATAACTCCAACAAATTCTATTATAAACTAATAGTGAAATATGTTTACACTCACTAGGAGACATTTTTGTTCGAGCAGCAACTGATGTTGGTTTTCCAAAAGTTCTTCTTGCATCTTTAAACCATGTTAGCTGAATTTAATAAATCGTGTTAGTTTAATCCAACAATATAATTATTATAATTTAAGTAATTGTGTACCTCATTTCCAAATTGGCCAACTTCTGGTGATGTAGGGTCTAATTTAGAGTATACATTATGTACAGCACGTATAAGGGTACCATCATCTCCAACACCGGGTCCGTATTGGTATCGAGGATTCAAATAATATGCTGTTCAAAGAAACACATACTCTAATAAGAGAAATAATACTTATGCAACTAAAGAAATGAATTGCAAATTATGACATAATTTATACCTGCTGCATGCAAATCGTGGTATAATGTTTTATACCATCGGTCATTAATTATCTTAATGACCCATCTTGCACCATGTTTTCTTTCCACGTCATCCTTCACTACACGCATCAACTCATATATTGTCCCCATAGTAGGATACACTTCTGTGTTAACGATCCATAAAACTTTGTAAAGAGGTTCAAACACTTGGCACACATGTTCTGATTGAGTCCAAAAAGCATGATCAAACACTATACTTTCCACCATACGACCTGCATTTAAGCGGCTTAAATTGTGGTTGGCCCAGTCATCACTAGTGAATAGTTGCTTTCAACCCTGCTTTCTTCTTAAGTAGGCTGTCTAATGCAATATAGTTGGTGGCAAATCGAGTGGTAGCTGGACGAATAATTTCTCCTTTGCAAAATTCACGCATCTTTGCCAACAACCAACCGTGATTGTAAATATAGTTTTTTATTGTTCTAGCTCTTTTTACGACAGTAGCAATATTCTCTCTCTTCCCCATTGCCTCAAACATGAAATCAATACAATGTGCTGCACATGATGTCCAAAACACATTATAATGCTTCATTAACTTTTTTCCAGCTTTGACAAATGCAGAAATGTTGTCGGTCACGACTTGGACAACATTATGCTCTCCCACCTTCATGATTACATCCCTCAATCATTTGTAAATATACTTGTAGTTCTTTATATGGTCTGAAGCATCAACAGACTTCAAAAAAATTATATTTCCCTTGGAGTATACCATGAAGTTTATGATAGACAATCTGGTCGGGCCAATCCATCCGTCACACATGATTGTGCAACCATTAGTTTCCCACTTTGACCTCAACTTGTTAACATACTCGCCAATGTCTTTATACTCCATTTCCAAATATTTGTTTCTTACCTCATAGGGAGTGGGAGGTTGTACTCCAACACCGGCATGTTGACATCCCAATACCATATTTTTGAAATGATGTGATGATGCCTTCTCAGCAGAGATATTTTCATAGATAAAGAACTTTCTAATTAGACGTCCCATTCCCTCCTTCACATTACCTCCAATGAAATAACTCCAAACACTCTTTTGACGTTCTTTGGATGACTTATATAAACTTGGGGTTATTGGTGGTGTTGGTTGTGATTCTCTAACACTTGCTCCCCGTCTCATTTGTGCACCACCACTTGTCCTGAAACCTTGTGCTCTATTAGGAATTTTATGAAGGTGTTCTCTTTCCCATGCTGTCTGTTTGGAGGCACGTAATGCTTGTTTGAAACTGCGTCGTTCTTCAGGTCCCATGTCATCATCACATTCGTCCTCATCATCATCATCATCACTGTCAACCGCTTGGCCAATGACTTCTCCTCGTAGCCCAGCTCGAATATTTTCCATTCCATGTGTTATCTTTTTCTTATGCTGTTTTTTATTTTTTAATAATGTGGTGATGAATGCCTTCACTTCTGCAGGGACATTATCGCACCGTTAGACATTATTTCCTGGATCTAATCCACTAAGATGGTACTTAAGTCATGTCACTCAGCCACTTTTCATTACCCGACCACAATATATGCAAATTGTGCCATGTTTGTTTCCGTCTATTGGGTCTCCATGCTCCCAAGCTGGATCACGTTTAGTAACTCCACTGGACATCTTAAACTTACCTATATTTATTTTTCATGAAAATTAGGCAATTATTTTTTGGCCAAAAAATATAGTAGTGACGGAAACATATTAAAGAGGAAGTAAACAAAATAGGAAGTAAAGTTATTCTACAGAAGAATTAAATAGGAAGTATTAAATAGGAAGTAAAGAAAATGATTGTAAGAATTTAAGTAATTATAAAAATAATATGGAATAATAAAACCTAATATTAATGAATAATAATCCAATTTGATAATAAAATAATAAATAATATTAAACATATTAAAATTATTCTAGGGAATAATTATACAACATTACTTAATTACTTCAAAAAATTAACATGCAACTATTATTTGGTTCTTAGATCACATGCACGGGTCCACACAAATTTTTTTGTTGTTGTGTAAATTACAATAATATAAATATAAGTTCGTAAACTTGCCTTAAATATGGAACCCTTTGTATAAAGGCCAAATAGAATCTGCGTGGAGCAACAATAAAATAATAATTACACAAATGTAACAAATCTGGAACTTTCGATGTCGTACGTAGCAGCAAAACCTCGACGATCCTCTGCAGCTTGCCGTCTGTGAATAAATGAGAGAGAAAGAAGGTATTTAACATTTAATTTAGAGTGGCGCGAGCTGCAGATCCATTTATTTAATTTGAAGCTCTGAAATGGCTCTGGAATGGATCTAGAATGGCTCTGAAAGGGCTAAGGGAAGAAGAAGAAACGAAAAGGTGTAATAGAGGTTTTTCAATTTTCGAATGGTCAAAAAATGTGTGATGATCTGATACTCCACCTCTGAGAATGTGAAAGAATATCACGCGTGGCATACAGTTTTGAAACTTGATGAAACCACCATTATTTTTATCTTGTCAAAAATTGTACAAGTTGTAAAAGTTGTAAAAGTTGTATAAGTTGTAAAAGTTGAATATTTGGATGCTTTTTTTTTCACACGCCACCACACACGCACACAGAA